CTTTGCTTGTTGGAAGCCAGCTGGGAAGACTGGAAATGGTGATCACATGACCACAAGATGCTGCCACCATCATAAGTACAGGCCAGGTGCCAAGTCGCCAAATTATAATTACATGACTACGGGGACTTGCAGTGGTTGTAAGGTCAAGGATCGATCATTAGTCCCTTTTTTTCAGCACTGTCGTAACTTTGGGCAGTCGCTAAACAAATGGTCATAAGCTGAGAACTACCTGTACACAGGAAATTATTAAAGTGAGAAACCAGGAAAATGTATTTCACGTTGGCATAAGTTCCTTTTTGGAGAACTCCTCCCGCTTTGAGCAGCGAATCAAACCATAACTGACCACTTTGGAAGGCCAGTAGATCCAAATCTCCAAAGCTCGGGACCTTTTTCTTGTTGCAGTTACAGACAACATAAATAAACCCAGGCCACCTCTCTTTTTTCTACAGCCCACCCTGTTATTCTTCTCTAGTCCCCAGCTCATGAATCAGACAGGCTTAAGCCGCCCTTAGCTGTACTGATCTTAAAATAATATTTTCCTCCTATTTTCAGTATCCCCCAAGAGGGCAGCTTCAGAGTGTGTAGAAACCATTCGGCTTTGTTGCTTGGAGAAAAAGAACGAGTTTTGCATGGACTTGAAATGGAGGCAGCAGAGGGATCAGCCATGGAGACACCACATGTCATGCCTCTATTGTTTTGTTTTGACTCACGGATGGGTGGAGGCTGTTTTAATTCAGAGGAGAGGAAATCCCCCGCAAAACCAAGGCCTTGTTATTTGACCTACCTACTCTGGTGCATTCCTGATATGCTAAGCTAAATCAACGTATCTTCCCCAGCCAACCTAACCAATAGATGATGGGAGCTGCAATCCTGGCAGGTTGATCAGAGAATTAAGAACAACCTGGCAGGATATTTTTTTTAAAAAAAAAGCACACACAAAAGCCTGGAAAATCTTAGATCTTGGAAAATGTAACATTGGTCAAGAGTTGCTGGGTTTGGTCCAAGGTTGTTCGACTCAGTGAGAACCGAAATATTTCTTTAGTCACAGCAGTAGTCCTGGTCAGATATTCTCGTAGATCTCTGATGTGTATTCAGACAGGGGGACATCTGTAATTAGCAGAGGCAGCAGAATGAGTAAGCCCGTTTGCACTAGGAAGTTAAAAATTACCTTGTTGTTCCAAAACTCTGCATTCCTAAAATAGGAGACTTTTCTAATGGAACCAATGATTCAATAGATGTTTGCTTCTTTTGCCAGTTTCTTTTTTTTCCTTCCTTTTGCTCAAAGTCTTAAAGATCTCTCTCTCCCCTCCCCTTTATTTCTCTTCTCTCCCCCCCCTTTATTTCTCTTCTCACTCTCCCCCTTTATTTCTCTCTCCCTCCACCCTTTATTTCTCTCTCTCCCCCTTTATTTCTCTCTCCCTCCACCCTTTATTTCTCTCTCTCTCCTTCCCCCCTTTATTTCTCTCTCCNCCCCCCCCTTTATTTTTCTCTTCCCCTTTGGGGAGATATGGTTAAATGCTTCTCTATAGAAATCCAATCTTTGAATATAGACCAGAGGTCTTCAAACGTGGCCCTTTTATGACTTGTAGACTTCAACTTCCAGAATTCCTCAGCCAGGCATTTTGGGAGTTGAAATCCACAAGTCATAAAAGGGTCAAGTTTGAAGACCCATGATACAGACTATCAAACTAATTAGGAATAATAGTTTTAACCAGCTTTCTCAGTAAGGTCCACCCACATATTTCATCCTTACAGCAACTCTAACTGAAGAAATCTTTCTCCTCAACTCTCCAAAATTCATTGATCTTGATTTTCTATCCAGTCTTATGTCCTCCTTTTCAAGCTTGATCCCCTTTTGAACAGAATCTAGGCTGCCAAAAATGAGAGGCATGCAAGCTGAGAAAATTCAGCGCACCCACCTTTCCTGGGCTTCTTCAGATTGTCTGAGTACTTCTGGCTGAAAAAAAAAGGGATTGCGAAAATTAGTACAATCCAAAGTGAAGATTTGCATCAAGGGCCCTCTACTGTCCAAAATGTGCAAAGGGTTTGCTAAACTCCTTGAAGGGTACCTTCAACCCACAAAAAAGCAATAAATAAATATTTCTATAAATAAATGTTTCCATAGCCTTGTGAAAAGGGAGGGAGGGCTTCAGATTGCCAGTTCTACTAAATTATTCCATGAAATGAACAAGAAAACCAGCAGATTGGGAGAATATGACTTGAAGGCCTTAAGTTTTCTGGCTGGGGAATTCTGGGAGTTGAAGTCCCCAAGTCTTAAAAGTTGCCAAGTTTGGAGACCCCTGCCCCAAACTGTGTCCATATCCAATCTATAGAGTGCCATAGATTCATCCATCCAGAATTCAGGTAAGAACTTCAAGTCCCTAAAATCATAGAGTGGAAGGTATCTTAAAGGACTTCTCATCCAACTCCCGTTTGAAGACTTAACAATGAAAGAGAACCTACCACCTCATGAGTCAGACCATTTCATTGGCTGTCAGCTCATATATTATGCAAGTTTTTAGCTGAATCTACTTTCAGTAGCTTCAACCATTCATTTTAGTCCTACCTTATGGGGCAATAATAATAAATCAGTCCTCTCTTTTGTGGTGGGCAACCTTCTAGATATTTAATAAGCATTACATTTTCTATTAGTCATCTCTTCTGTAAGTTAAACATATACAGATTATTCCTTCCTTCCTTCCTTCCTTCCTTCCTTCCTTCCTTCCTTCCTTCCTTCTTTCCGTCAGTCAGTCAGTCAGTCAGTAGTTCGTTCATTCATTCGTTCGTTTGTTCATTTGTTAGTTCATTCATTTGTCTTCCATCTCACATGATGACTCTAATTGTTCCTCATAAGGCTGGATTTCTAGACTTTAGCTATTTTGGTACTTTTCACTGTATTTTTCTATGCCACCATCATTATTTACAGATCGACTAATCATAATGTCTTCTCAAGACTTACAGATTGACTAATCATAATGTCTTCTCAAGACTTACAGGTCGACTAATCATAATGTCTTCCCAAGACCCAATTCATATGATTTCAACTTACCTACAGCTCCTCCTCCACAGGACCGCCAGAGTAAGTATGATTAGAAATTGCAATATAATGCAAACAACCAGTGGAATCCATGGCACTCCGTTTATTTTGACTTTTGAGCACTGAGATAATAAACCATCTTTCACTGTCCCTATATCTAGGGAAAAGCAGAAAGAGAGGACATCAGCAGGAAAAAGTTCAAATAGTACAGCATATCATAGTTTATATATTTAAGATCCCACTATCCCCCTGAATATATATATATATTCAGCATCCAGCCAGGGTGGATCCTAGATGCTAAATGTTAAATTTAATTGACCGTTTTTTCCTCTCTTTTTTTGTACACTATTTTTTTCTTTTTTGTTGTTCTTAGGGTTGAATGTATGCTTTTGTTTTGTTTCATTTTGTTTGTTTGTTTGTTTGTTTTACTGTTTTGTATTTTATTTTCTATGATAAAGCAAATAATAATAATAATAATAATAATAATAATAATAATAATAATAATAATAATAATAATAATAATAATAATAGGAAAGAAACATCAGAATAAGGTTCTTACCTTCTGATACTCAAAATTCAAAAATCAGGACAAAGCCAGGAGGTGAACTGGACAGGACTTCCCCCCAGAGAATTATAAATTATATAAATATGCTTTCTACCCATCCCATCATGTCCTTAATCCTAAAGCAGAGATACCCATCTATGATCTCACCATATACAATAGGTAACACCACCCAATTTTGCAATTATTCCTTGGGAAAAGCCCTTTTTCTATTTTATTTTTGTATCTTTTAGCAGCAGCTATACCATGTTGAACCTATGTCTGAATCACAAGTGGTCCTCAAATTACGACTGTAAGGGAGCCTGCCCATTATAGTCATAAGTCATAATGGTCATAAAATAGGGTTATGGGACTGATCTGTAAAATCATTAAGCATGCAGCATTAAGCGAATCACCATAGCCTTAAATGCAGATGCCCAGTTGCTAAATAACATGGCAGTTGTAAGTGTGAATCCATTTTTTTGCTATGGACTCAATTTTGCTGAAAACTGCACATAAGTGTTGGTTTTCAGCAAAACCATTGTAAAACACAATCACATGACCACAGGAAGGTTGAAATGGCTGTAATTGCAGCCGTGTTGCCAAACTCCCAAATGTGGTCACGTGACCATGGGGGGGGTACCATTGGTACTTCAGATCCAGGTCATAAGTCCCTCTTTTCAAGTACCGTAGGTTGTAACTCTGAACGGTTGCTAAGCATAGAATAGAGGGATTCGGAGAAAGGAGCACAGTTCCTTATCATTTTCTGCAATTTTCCCACCTTGTTCACATACACACACACACACATACACACCCCACAGAACTCCTTGTCTCAATACAGGAGAAGTAGAATTGGATTTTTTTTTCCCCCTCAAAGTAGCAACATGCAAAATGTAACATTGTGATCTGTGTGATGGTATTCTTAATAGAATTCCCATTTTTAGCCTTTGAGAAAGATTCAGGAACAAATGGACAAGTATAAGGAACAAATATAAGAAATTATATTACAGTTTATAAATCTCTGGAACGAAGAGGAGTTTAACAATCAGATAATAAAAAATAAAATATTTCAGGTTGGAGGCAATCAGTAAGTTGGATCAACATAAAACAACATACTGTATAGATTAGAAAAGGGTTTTTTTTTTTATTTGCAGGAATAAAATAATGTGTGATGAGAAATCTTTAGGCTATACTTTGGCAGAAATTTTTCTAATATCTTACTATAATATTTTGGACTTTATATATTTTAATAATCGATGTGGATTTATTAGTAAGCCAATAACCATTGATAAGTTTAATATACAGTACTGTATAAGTACCTTTCTTTCTTTCTTTCTTTCTTTCTTTTTCTTTTTTCTTTGAATTTTTTATCCTTTGCTTTGCTTTTGGCTTCTATGTTTTTTTTTCTTTAAAGATTGTTTTATTTCATTGTGGAATTTTTAACTGTATTTAAGTGATCTGTCGATATGTTCTTTTGTATTTTGAATGACAATAATGATCAGTATAAAAACCATTGAACATAAATAATAAGCCACAAAACAAATAAAGAGATAAAGCACAATTAATTCGTGATCAATAAAAATTGTGGAAGGAACTATGTTCTATATCCGTGGTGGCAAACCTATGGCACGCATGCCACAGGCAGCACGCAGAGCCCTCTCTGTGGGCGCACGTGCCATTGCCCCAGTCCTAGGCCTTCAGTCCCGTCCATGAGCAACCTGCATCAATACCTGCGCAGGGTAAGGTTGCCGCGCCCCCCCCCCGCCTCCCCAAAAGTTAGAAAGTCTGATGGAACTTTTTTTTTTTACCAATAGTCCCACAAACACACGGCGAAGGCTGAGAAGCGAATGGAAAAATGGAACGCAGCTGAAAGGCAGGTTAGTAAAAAAAAAATGCTTGGGGAGGCGGGGCGGGTACGGCAACCTTAGCCTGCATGGTGGCGGGAGGGTGGGGCGCGTGCCCTTCCCATCCCAGGCCAACCCTTGCAGCCCCGGAGTGGCCATGCTAGGCGGCAGTGGGCAGGGTGTTGAGGTGGGGGCCGGCAGGCCGACCAAAGCAGCAGGTGGAGTGCGGAGGCTCGGGGAGGGCGGGTGCTGAAGTAGGCGGTCAGGCCATTGGCAAGAGCAAAGCGTCTGAGCGGAAAGAGGCCTTGGAACAAGTTGGGCAGGTAAGGAAAGAAATCCTCGCTCCCCCCAGAAATTGCCTTTCTTTCCTTACCTGACTTCCAGCCCTGTGCTGTTTCTCCTTCGCAATGCACCATCACCGCATGCAAGGAAACAAAGTTTTTTTTGGGGGGGGGGAAAGGTCAATCAATCAATCAATCAATCAATTCCAACTTCTTGTGAAAGATCTGTCAGAGAAGAGAACTTCACAGCTCTGTCTACAGAGCTACCAAAGCTGTAGCTGAATGGGCAGGTGAGGGGGAAACCTACCCCACTTGTTCCACGGCCGCTTTCGGCCGAGCCACATTGCAGCAGCGTTGGGCACAATACGCAAGGTGGCAAACAGACATGTCACACCAAAACCAGCCGTTTGCCGCCTCCTGCCCAATGCCGCTACCATGAGGCACCCCTCTGGCTCCTGGGAGTTGTGCTGGCATCCTTCTTGCCGGGCATCCTTTGCGGTGAGTTTCTGAAAAGATTTGCAACGGGGGTGGGTGCAACGCACAAGGCGGCAAATGGCAAACAGTCACGTTGCACCAAAACCAAGGGGCCGGCAGGCTGTGGCTGCTGATGGAAACAGTTGGCCCCCATGTGCTCACTGTGTGCAGAGGCCGATGGTGTCAGGCATTAGCCGCCCCGGCCCCTGCCTCGCCTTGCCTTGCCCTGCGGCAATGGTACCCCTGCCCTGCCCCCTGCTTCGCCTCATCTCACCCCGCAGGATAAGCCTCCTGCCCAACGTCCCACCCGCCAGAAACCCCCTAGATCTCCCCCAACCCTACCCGGCCCCTACAGGCGTCCCTCTCCACGAGCAACATCGAGGTGGCCACGCCCACTCTGGCCACACCCACCCAGTCTGCCATGACCACCACAGCCACGCCCACCCGGCACCCGGCGATACATAAGTGGGTTTGGGGTTGCAGTTGGGCACTCGGTCTCTAAAAGGTTCGCCATCACTGTTCTATATGTTCTACAAACTTTTTTCCCCAGTTATTTCTGCAAAACATGGGGATTCCTTTCCTTCTCACATAGGTGGCGCTGTTGGACCAGAAAAGAAAGAATACTTATAACCAGACTTTAGCAATAGAAGGAATGAACTCTAAAAAAAAAAAAAAGTTAAAATGTTCTAAAATACAGGTAGTCCTTGACTTACAATTATAATTGAGTCCACAATTTTCATTGCTAAGCAAGATAGATATTAAGTGAGTTGTGTTCCTTCATACAATCTTTTTGCCATTGTTCTTAAGCAAATCATTAAAGTTGTTAAATCAATTGTGTGATTGTTAAGTGAATCTGACTTCCCCCATTTGACTTTGCTTGTCAGAAGCTCCCTAAGAAGGTTGCAAATGCAATCCCAGGATCCCAGGATGCTGCAACCATTGTATATACATGCTGGTTGCCAAGCACCCAAATTTTGATCACACGACTGCTGGGATGCTGCAACAGACATAAGTATGATAAGTGGATAAGTGGTTAT